AGGTCATGTGTCTCTCTGTGGCCACCATGCCGAAGGTCGGAGGATCTGGCAAGAGCAGAGCCTCTGTTGCTGCGCCTGCATATCTGTGGGCTGAGGGCAAGGGTGGTCCTCAGACTGCGGCAGGGGTGAGTTAGAGGCTCCAAGGGTGAGGAGATGCCTCAGCCTGGAAAATCACATCACGAGCTTGGGGCTGGCCCAGGGACAAGGCAGGGAAAAGTGCTGAGAGGCTGGTGTTCCAAGAGGCCGCCGGAGCAAGTAGAGAGACTAATTCTTGGAAAGTGGAAACCCCCAAGGAGGCTGCAGCGGGTCTTTGAGCTGCTGGCGAGCACCATTCTGGCTTTAGGACCATCCAGAGTGGTGAAAACAGAGTGGCTGGAGATTCTGGACACCTTGTGGTGTGGACAGGACAGCGAGGTCCAGAGGACAGGGGCCGTCCTCCACAGCTGCAGCAAGGGAGACTGTGGGCCCAGGTACCCTGGCTCCTGGCCTGGCCTTTTTACTCTCTGCCAGGCTGCCGCTGCCTCTTCCAAATAGGAAGATCCACGTGGCATTTCCCCTTGATTCTGGAAGGAATAATAAAATGTGCATGGGGACACTCACAAGTCTGAGTGTGTGAAGTGGATTTTCTTTTCTAAGCCTCCTTGCTGGGTGCGTCTCAAAAGTACCTCTACTCCCTGCAGCCTTGTAAAGCTGACTTTGCCAATTCACGGTATTTTTTCACTTTTTGGGGAAACTTTTAATTTAGAAATAATTTTAAACTTACAGAAAAGCCATAAGAATATTACAAGGAGCTCTCTTGTAATTTTTTTGAGCCTAGAGTCACTGTTTGTTTAATTTTGCCCTATAATCATATGATTTCCATCTATACACATACACACACACACATTAAAAACTGTGACTTCATATTGATACATCCAATTTCAATTCAATGATCTAGTGTATTTCTAGACCTTTCCACATACAGTCGCCCCTCCTCTTATTTACAGTTTCACTTACCACACTTTTAGTTACTGCGGACAACTGAGATCTGAAAATATTAAGTGAAAAATTCAAGAAATAAACAGTTCATAAGTTTTATTTATGGGTATTTATTTTAATTTTATTATTTGTATTTTTCAGTTGCAGTTGACATTCAATATTATATTAGTTTCAGGTGTACAGTATAGTGGTCAGACATTTCTATAATTTATGAAGTGATCCCATCGATAGGTTTAGTGCCCCGCGGCACCACACAGAGTTATTGCAATATTATCAATTATGTTCCCTATGCTGTATTTTACATCCCTGTGACTATTCATAACTGCCAATTTGTACTTCTTAATTCCACTCAACCATCTAACCCACCTCTCATCTGGCAACCATCAGTTTGTTCTCTGTGTCTATGTATTTGTTTTGATTGTTTGTTTATTTTGGTTTTAGATTCCACACATAAGTGAAATCATATGGTATTTGTCTTCCTATGTCTGACTTATTTCACCTCACATAATACCCCCTAAGTCCATCCATGTTGCACAAATGGTAAGACTTCATTCTTTTTTATGACCGAGTAATATTCCATTGTATATAGGTAGCACATCTTTATTATCCATCATCTATTGATGGACACTTAGATTGCTTTCATATCTTGGCTCTTGTATATGAAATGTCTTTCTTTGTCACCATTATAGCCTTTGTTTTAAAATCTATTTCATTTGATATATGAGGTCTATCCAGAAGGTATCCAGTCATGCAATAGGAAAAATAGAGACATTTATTGAGGAAGATACAAAATACAAGAAACATGGTACATAGGACAATGATGCCTCAGACCCCTTAAAAGTAGGCACCTTGGGACCTCACGCAGTTCTCACAATTGCCATCAGCTTCCCTGTCATATTTTCTGGACTCTCATCAATAGTCTGAAATCTCTTTCCTTTCAAAAAGTGATTATAGTTTTGGGAAAAGCCAGAAGTTTCAGGGCACCAAATCTGGGCTGTAGGGGGGCTGTCACCTGGGTGATTTCATGTTTCACAAAAAAACTCTGCACGAGATATGATGCATGGGTAGGCATGTTGTTGTGATGAAGCTGCCAATCACCAGTTGCCCAGAGCTGCAGCCTCATGAATCATCTGAATAGTTTCCACATAGGAATGTTCAAGTCTAATGCAAAATTTGATGCAGATTCATTGCTCTTACTCGCTCAGTTATTTGGAATGCGACGGGCACACAGTACACATGCTCACTCAGTGGCATCTACCACCCCCACTGACTAGTACAGTGAGTCATCATTGTTCATGCGTGGGCATTCCTGTCCACTCTCCTTGGCTGCCAGGTTACGTCGATGTCATGCAAACTGTTCTTGTTATATTAACAATGGCTGGACTTTCCAGACAGACCTTGTAAGTATTGCTATCTTAGCTTTTTTTTTTTTTTTAATTTTCCATCTGCATGAAATATCTTTTTTCATCCTTTTACTTTCAGTCTGTGTTTGCCTTTTAAACCCAAGTGAGTCTCTTGTAGATAGCATATGTATGGGGTTTTTTTCTTCTTTATTCGGTCATCTTATGTCTTTTGATTGGATCATTTAATAGATTTACATTTAAAGTAATTATTGATAAGTATGTACTTATTGCCATTTATTATTCATATTTTTCAACATTTTTTCCCCTTCTTAAAGAAGTTCTTTTAATAATTCTTGTAATACTGGTTTGGTGGTGACGAACTCCTTTAACATTTTCTTGTCTTGGAAGCTCTTTCCTTCAATTCTAAATGATAACCTTACTGGGTAGAGTAATCCTGATTGCAGGTCTTTGCTTTTCATCACTTTGAATATTTCCTGCCCATTCTTTCTGGTCTGCAAAATTTCTGTTGAGAAATTAGCTGACAGTTTTATGGGAGCTCCCTTGTATATAACTAACTGCTTTTCTCTTGCTGCTTTTAAGATTCTCTTTTTATCTTTAACCTTTGGCATTTTAATTATAATGTGTCTTGGTGTGGACCTCTTCCAGTTCATCTTGTGTAGGACTCTCTGTGCTTTCTGGACTCGTGTGTCTATTTCCTTGGCCTGGTTAGGGAAGTTTCAGTCATTATGTCTTCAAATAGGATTTTAATCTGTGGCTCTCTCTCGTCCCCTTCTAGTACCCCTATGGTGTGAATGTTGGTACACTTGATGTTGTTCCAAAGGCTCCTTAAATTATCTTCTTTTTTTTTTTTTTATTCTTTCTGCTGTTCTGATTGGGTATTTTCCACTATATTGTCTTCCATATCTCTGATTTGATTCTCTGCTTCATCTAATCTGCTGTTGATTCCATCTAATACATTCTTTATTTCAGTTATTGTATTTTTTAATTTCTGACTGGCTTTTAAAATGTTTTTATTTCTTTGTGTAGAGGCATGCTAAGGCCAGCTGCTGCTTGTTTGGGGTTGTGCATCTTTGAGAGATTTTAGGAAGGTCTGCAGCATGGACAGCAAGCACGAGGCCAGCAGCTTGTGAGGAAGAGCTGCTGAAAGAGGTTCAGGCTGGTGCATGGGTGGAGTGGAGTGGGGTACAAGGGAATCCACAGGGTAGAGTGAGCAGTGTTAGCCAGGTTGAAGGAGGCCCAGATATGGCTGGGTGGGGGAAGGGCTCAATGGAATAAAGAAACAGTGGTGACTGCCAACACTTCTGTCTGGGAGAGAACTGCCCCCCTAGCCTAGCCCTTAAGCCAGACAATTCAGTTTCTCTCCATGTGTCCCTGAGGCTTTTAGAACTCCTTTACCTTTGCTGGAGCCCAGTAAGCATATTTGTGAGCGAGTGAATCTGTTCTTTGGCCCTTTACAAAAACACCTGGATCTACAGCAGTCCTCCATCTCACCAGGATGGAATTCCTATGATTTTAACTCCTCCTGGCACTGGTGCCCATGCTGGGGAGCTCCGTGTGGGTCTGGGACTCCTCTCTTCTCGGGGAGATCTCCACAACTGAGACAATACTCTTGATTCTTAATCGCCACATGTGGGTGTGGAACCAGCCCATTTTCTGTGTCCAACCTCCTACCAGTCTCAACATGACTTCTTCTTTATATTCTTAGTTATAGAACTTCTATTAAGTTAATCTTAAGGTGGTTCTCAAGAGTGATTGATTGTTCTATAAATTGGTTGTAATTTTGATGTGATCATGGGAGGAGGCAAGCACAGCATTTACCTACTCCTCCAGCTTGAGTGGAAGTCCGCAAGTTTTAAATTTTGTGCCATTCTGAGTAGTGTGATGAAATCTCAGGCCATTCTGCTCCATCTTGTCCAGGATGTTATTCATCCCTTTGTCCAGCATATCCATCCTATGTACACTCCCCACACATTAACTACTTAGTAGCCATTGGTTAACAGACCAGATTCCATGGTATTGGAGTGCTTGTGCTCAAGTAACTCTTATTTTACTTAATAATGGCCCCAAAGTGAAAGATTAATGATGTTGGCATTTCAGATACCTTTAAGTGAAAAGGTATGTATGAAAAGAAAAGAAAAACTGTGTGTGTGTGTCTGTGTATCTGTGTGTTTGTGTGTAAAGAAAAACAGCATATATATGTGTGTGTGTGTGTGTGTATGTGTATATATATATATACTGTTTATATATATACATGGTTTCAGACATCCACTATGTGTCTTTGAACATATTCCCCATGGATGGGAGGGAGGAATGTTGTATATATGTTCTCCTTCTCCAACAGTGAGAAACCTGGTTCCCAGTTTTTTACTCATTTGCTCAAGCCTAGAATATAAGGAAAATAGTTTCAGAGTTGGTAACCCATACCATTCATTGTAACAGGAAAACCTACTAAATTGAGTTCAATATTTCTTTACATTTCTTAAGATTAAAATTTAATATAGAAAATCCACAAAAATTAAGTCTATTATTTGATTAAATTTATCAAATGTATATACTGGGTTACCCATGACCCAGTTGTTTTGGTCAGCTCGGGCTGCTATAACAAAATACCGTAGACTAGGCAGCTTAAACAACAGACATTTATTTCTCCCATTCTAGAGGCTGTGAAGTCCAAGATTAAGGTGCTGGCAGATTCAGTTCCTGGCAAGAACTCTCTTCCTGGCTTGCAGGTGACAACCTTCTTTCTGTGTTCTCACATGGCAGGGATTGGGGAGAGGGAGAGAGAGATTAATTGATTTTTTGTAAGGTTGCTGATCCCGCTATGGGGGCCCCACCCTCATGACCTCACCTAAACCTAAACACTCCCAAAGACCCCACCTCCAAATATCATCACACTGGTGGTTAGGGCTTCAACATACGGCTTTGGGTGGACAGAAACTTTCAGAAATAACACTAGCCAAGGTAGAGATTTCCATTATTTCAGAATGTTCTCTAGGGTAACTAACTATGAGTAGAATGGCTGAGTGATAAGAAAAATGTACGTTTAACTAAACAAGAAACAGTCAAAACTTTTTCCACAGGTTGTGTGTTTTTTCCATTTGTCCCAACAATGAAGAAAATTGTTGCTCCACATTCTCAGCAATGCTTGGTATTGTCGGTCTTTTTAATTTCAGACTTTAGAGTAGAATTGTATAGTATATATTCTTCTAAAATCTGAATTCTTATAGATAATAGTGGTATCCCAGTGTGATTTTAATTTGCATTTTCTTGCAGGCTAATTACTGAAAAGGCAAAGCTGGTACCATTTGCTATCGTGGTGCCATTTGCTGAGCAGGCCTATAAGCTTGTTAAACATGACTGCCATTTTACTCTTCTGAGCTTATATCCCCAGGACTGGACAACTACTCGAAAAGCAAGAACAGAATGTGACTAACTGCTCCCCCTCAAGAGCTGCAGGCAAAAGACAACTTTGGAGCAAACTGCAGCTTATCCAGAACCAACCAAAACCTCCTGCATTGCTATGCCCCTAACAGCCCAGCAGCCACACAACAGCAATCTCCCCTACCCTTTTAAAATCCAATAAAAACTCAAAGCTCTGACATCTTGCTGCTGGTGTATCCCTCCACACTTAAGCCTCTTTCTTCTCCTGGATAGTGAATAAAACTTTGCTCTCTGCATTTCTTCTCTTTGTAAATTCTTTCACAGCCCACATAACTGGCCACCCTAACAATTATGTTGAATTTATCATCATTTATAAACTTTATTTGAGAATTATATAATGTTTAGATGCTTTCTTGTTTTTTAAGTGAGTTATTTTTTTATTATGATTTGTAGGAGTTATTGATAAACAAGTATTCTAGATACTGTATTTTGCTGTGATAATGCATACTTTTTTGCCCAAAGTTTTGAGGGAAAAATAAGGATGCACACTATACATGGGTAGTACTAATTCCATATCTATAAAAATGTTTTTAATTCTTTTATTTATACTTACACATTAAAAGTGTAACTCTAAAAAAGCAGTAATGCTATCCATATGCAAAATAATACCCTAGAATATGATAATAAGTTTTGTTTCTAAATATAAATAAATAAATGTTTTTCCTGAAAGTTTGAGCCAAAAATGTGGGTGTGCATTATACATGGCAAAGTACAGTACAAGTCCTTTGTCAGATATATTTTGCAAATATTTTCTTCCAAGTCTGTGTTGTGTCTATTTATTTTCTTGTTAATGACTTTTTCTTGTGGTAAATTAAACAGAGCATAACATTTACCATCTTAATCATTTTAAAATAAAAAATTCAGTGATATTTAGTATATTCAAAATATATGTAAGCATCAGCACTATATACTTTAATTTTTATCATTCCACAAGGAAACCCAATACTCATTAAGCTGCTATTCCTCATTCTCTCATTTTCCAACCCCTGGAAATTACTAATCTACTTTCTGTCCCCATGGATTTGGCTATTTTGGATATTTAATACTAATGGAATCACACAGTATATGGTCTTTTGTGTGTAGCTTCTTCACTTAGCATAATGTTTTCAAGATTCATCCACATTGGAGAAATGCCAAAACTTCATTCTTTTAAATAGCTGAACAATATTCCATCATATGAATATATCATAATTTATTCATTAGTTGATGGACATTTGGCCTGTTTCCATCTTTTGGTTACTGTGAGCAGTACTGCTATGAACGTTTGTGTACAAGTTTTCATATGAGCATACATTTTTTGTTCCTTGGATGTACACCTAATAGTGGGATTGCTGAGTCATAGTGTAATTCTATGTTTAACTACTGAGAAACTACCCCACTGTTTTTCTACTGTGATTATACTGTTTCATATTCCCACCAGCAATATATGAGGGTTCCAGTTTCTCCACACTTTCACCAAAACTTATTTTTTATTTTTTTATTATGTCCATCCTTGTGGGTATGGAGTGGTGGTGCTGTAGTGTGGATTTATATTTCCCTAATGATTAATAATGTTAAACATTTTTTCATGTGATTTTTTGGCCATTTATATATTTTATTGAGAAAAGTATTTATTAAGTCTTTTCTTATTGTGAGAGTTCTTCTTTTTTTACCCTATTCTATATGCTGCACATTACATCCCCATGACCTATTTTATAACTGGATATTTGTACTTCCTAATCCCCTTCTTTTTCTCCACCCAACTGCCACCCCCCTCCTCTGATAAACATCAGTTTGTTCTTTATGTATACTGAATACTGCATCCTTACAGAGATATGCTTTTAAAATATTTTTTTTCCATTCTGTGGTTTTTAAAATACCCTTGATAATGTCCTTTCATGGACAGAAGTTTTAAATTTTGATGAATTTTAATTTATCTACTTTTTCTTTTGTTGCTTGTGCCTTTGGTGTCATAGCTAGGGAACTGTTGCTAAGTCCAAGGTCATAAAGACTTACTCCTATTTTTTTTCTAAGAGTTTTATGGTTTTAGCCCTTACAACTTTATAAAACATGAAAACAAATAACCTAATTTTTAAATGAGCAAGTAATTTGAATAGACAGTTCTCCAAATAAGATATACAAATGGGCAGTAAATACATGAAAAGATGCTCTACATCATTAGTTATTAGGGAACTGCAAATAAAACCACAATGAAATACCACTATCTACCCACTAGCATGACTATATTTTTTTTTAAAAAGGAGCAATAACAAGTGTTTAGGATGTGGAGAAACTGGAACCTTCATGCATTGCTGGTGGAAATATAAAATGCAGCCTCTATGGAAAAGAGTTTGGCAGTTCCTCAAAAAGCTAAACATAGAATTACCCCGTGAACCAGCAATTATACTCCCTTTCAATGGGTTGTGTTTTTCTTTTTCACTTTATTGATATTGTTCTTTGCTGCACAGAATCTAAAATTTTTATGAAGTCCAATTTATATCTTTTTTTCTTTGAGTGCTTAAGCTTCTGGTGTATCTAAAAAACCATTGTGAAATCCAAGGTCATGCAAGTTTATCTCTATATTTCATTCTAAAAGTTTTATAGTTTTATTTCTTACATCTAGATCTTTTCTCCACTATGAACTGTGGTGTGAAGGAAAAGTTCAAATTCACTTGTTTGCATGTAGATGTCCAGTTGTCCCAGTACTATTTGTTGAAGACATTACTCTTTCTCCATTGAATGGTCTTGATATACCTTTGTTGAAAATCAATTGACCATAGATTATATGAACTTATTTGTGGCCTCTCAATTCTATTCCATTGGTTTACATGTCTGTCCTTATGGAAGCAACATAAGGTATTGATTACTGTAGCTTTGCAGTAAGTTTTGAAATTAAGACCTGAGAGTCCTCTAACTTTGTTCATTTAAGGTTGTTTTGGCTATTTAAGATTCATTGCATTCCCATATGAAGTTTAGGTTCAACTTCCCCAAATACAAAAAAAGCCAATTGAATTTTTGAGTGAGAGTTCATGAAATATGAATAGCAATTTTGGAATTATTGCCATCTCAACAACATAAGTTTTCCAGCCACAAATATGGGATGTTTTCTTATTCATTTAAATATTCTTTACTTTTTTTCAACTATGTTTTCTGGCTTCAGTGAAAGTTTTGTACTTCTTTTGTTAAATTATTCCTACGTATTTTATTCTTTTTGATATTATTGTAAATGGAATTCTTTTCTTAATTTCATTTTGAGATTTTCATTGCCAGTGTATGGAAAAAGAACTGTTTTTTGTACATTGATTTTGTATCCTGTAAGTTTAACAAACTGTTTTTTAAAAATTCTTCTGTGTATAAGACCATGTCATCTGCAAATAGATACAGTTTTACTTCTTTTCTAATCAGAATGTACTTGTATCTTTTTCTTGCCTTGTTGTCCTAGCTAGAACCTCTAGTTGACTAGAAGTAGTGAGAACAGATATTCTTATTTTTTCCTGACCTTAAAGGAGAAACTTTTTAGTCTTTTACTAATAATTATAACATTAGGTCTGGTTTTTCATAAATTGGCTTCATCAGATTGAGGAAATTCCCTATCTCTAGTCTGTTGAGTGTTTTTATCAGGGTGTTGGATTTCATTAAATGTCTTTTCATTGAGATTAACATGTGTTTTTGCCTCTTATTTTCTTAATATAGTACATTTCATTGATTAATTCTTGTATATTGAACCAAACTTGCATTCCTAGGATAAATCCCACTTGGTCATGGTGCATAATTAGTTTTGTATACTGTTAAATTTCATTTTCTAATATTTTATTTAGAAATATTAGAGGATTTTCCTCCTATTTTCATAAGGAATACACAGTATATATTTGTTCTCATTCCTGGCGCAGAGCTTCTAAAACCCTTGGAATTCCTAAGTGATGAGAGCAATGAAGTTGTCTTTTGTATGCTAATGAAGTAACTTTTGGAAAGCCCATAGGTAACCTAAGGAAGGATCCTTCCTGCCAGGTGAACCAACAAGCTGATTATGTGACAGAACAGAAAGAAGCTAGGAAAATTCCTGAGTAAGTGGAATGGGGAAACTGAAGAAAATTGAACAAGGCCAGTTAGAGCAACTTACAGCAAGCTGGCGAATCTCAAGACCTTATCTCCTCTAACCAAGAACACTTGAGAGCAAATGGTTTATACCTCTCCTTCCTAATCAAAGAATACATAGCTTAAATCTCCCTGGTCTTGGAAAACAGGGAACAGAAACTTAGTTAATGCCATTTGTGTCAACTAAGCCCAAAGACAGATGAAGTTAGGGGAAAAAATTGCAAAAACCCCATTAAAAACCATACAGACCCAAGATAAAACAGTATAGCAAACCAAAGAATAGTCCTAAAACCCGCTATGTGCTCATTTTGATGCATCATAATATTAAAGATGCACGTGGGAAAGTAATGAATATTCTGTTGAAACCCTCCCCAAAGACTATCGTCCACAGAAAAAAGATATAAAGCCCTCAGGACAAAGACTCAGGGCAGGCTCGCTCTAGAACATACCTAGGCCCTTCTTGGGCATGAACTTTCTACTTCCTTCTAAACTCTAAAGGTCCTCACGTGACTTGCAGCCAGGGGAGCAGTGGGCAGCAGCAGCTTGACCTGGGCTTACCCCTTGATCCTGTCTCCAGGGCCCCTTTTTCTCTGACTTCCCTGTGAGCTAAAAGCAGCCCTGCCTTGACTCAATCTTTTCTGTAACTTTCCTAGGGAGCCAAAGCAGAGTACTGCCTAGGCTTTCTTCTGCTGCTCCTTCTATCCTAAGTCCTTCGTTTGTTTCACTGTCTCCAGCTTTAATAAACTACTCTCACAATCACCTGGACTCATGCTGTGAAATCTTTCCTACGTAAAGTCAGGATCCCACACACAACAGGCTCGTTGAAGGCAGATTTGCTCTAGGGAGAGGAGAGTGTAGAAATTGAGTTCATTCACCAAGGGCCAATGATTTAATCAGCATGTTTATGTAATGAGGCCTCCATAAAAACCTCCAAATATTGTCTAGTGGTGTTGGGAAAAAACCAGACATTGGAATTGGTTTCAGCAACCTGTTTTGTTTTCTTTACAGAGGCGTCTGTTCGTCCAGGCCAATGTGGGTCAGTTGTTTGGAGAGTTGTCCTGTAGACCAAAGGGTTGCAGGTTCTATTCTCAGTCATGACACATGCCTAGGTTCGGGTTCTTTCCCTGGGGTCCCCAGTTGGGGTGTGTGTGGGAAGCAACTGATCGATGTTTCTCTCTCTCTTTCCCTTCCTTTCTCT